CGACTTATTTATCATTGTAGTAATCCGTCCGAAAGCGGAAAGCTCCTCTTAAAGATCATTTCCAATCGTGGTCCTGGTACAGCTTTTATCTCCCAGTTGGACTCGAACCGGCAACCTTGCGATTATGACCTCCGGAGCACTAACCACTGCGCTATCGACCCAGAGGTCGGCTTTTAAAAATTATAAACTATACCAAATAGAAATAATGCTATTATTTTTTTATTTACTAGAATATTTAACAAAAACTATGTAAGATAAAACTTTGACTTAAATGTAGAGAGTTGGCATGAGTGCTAGTTAGTCTGGGAATTGTATTTTATAAGATTTTAGCAGTTCGAGGCATATGTATGAGTCATATTTGTATTACTGTATTGTTTACACAATCTTGATTAGGAAGTAAATACTGCTGACTGTTTTGGTGTTTTATATGTCAATCTTTTGGAATGGGTAAATTGAATTACCTATTTTTTACAAAATTTTTCTCAAAAAAAAGAGAAGACATGAAGTGAATCAAATTATAGTTTTTGTAACTACTTAATTCTTCTAAGAGTTTCTTGTAGGTTTTATAGTTGTATAGAAATAATATATCTAACACTGTTGTTTATTTTATAAGAAACTTTTAACTTTCACTAACTACTTCTTCTATGGTTTCAGAGCTTCTTTAAACTGTCATTACAAAGTAAAGGTTCTTTTTCAATTCTATTTCAATATCTACTATGCATGTTCAGTGCTCTAGAGAAGTTTTCATAAAGTTTAATATATTAACTATATTGTTTTTCTGTAGTTCAGCATTTTGGAAAGTTTGGTCTAAATGATCATTAGAAAGAGTTGGATAAAATTATCATTTATTAATCTGATATTAATTCAATAAAGTATTAATAAATTAATATTATAAAACAATAATGATAATAATAAACAACAATAATAATAATAATAAGCAATTTTTAAAAAATAATAAACAATATTTATAAATATTATTTATAATTTATTTAAATAATTTAAGATCAAAACTAATTACAAAAATTATTTTTTTATTTTAAATAAGCAGTTAATTACTTGACCAAATTAACTTTATTTATTAATATTAACTTAAGAAACATTTTAGTTAATGAAAAGATTACTAACTTTACATACAATTTTAATTATTGTCTATTAAAAAATTTTATTTTAAGGTTTGTACTAGGTGTTATACCTAATTCTGCTTGTAATTGTTTTATTTGAACTAACTGACTTTTTAATTTTATATCTATATAACATTAAATAATCCTAAATCCAAACTAATCTGTTATTGTATTAAATAAAATTAAATGAATATTTTTTTATAATTATTATTTTTATACAATATGTAAAGATCATTATTGTTACCAAAAAATAAATTTCAAAAATCAGTATAGTGAACATCAAAAAAGTTGAACAGAATCTATTCCTTCCTCATTTCATGTTACATATTCAATGTTATTATGCTGAAAAGTCTAATAATTTTATTAACCAATCATAATCTGATTATATAAAATTATCTATTCATAATTGATTATATGCTCTCTAGATACAGTATATTGATAATTTTTTCATTAGTTAAACTATTTAAAATATTGATACAGTTTTATACTAAAATTTTTATAAAAATCTTGAAAAATGTCGATTAGAAATATTTACTATTGCTATGATGATGCTATGACCAGAGTGGCGTGTAGATAATTTAAAATTTGTTAATGTTCATTAAAAGGTATCTACGTATTCATGTTGCTCCGCATTATATAAATGTTGATCAATTTCGTGCAATAAAATGGATTTGTAAAAAGGATACTTTTAAGCAGAGATGTTTAGTTTACGCATCTCTGACTAATAGCCAATTAAAATGAAAATATATCACGTGCCTCACTTTTTCGCGTGGCACGACAGTTACACAGGGTACAATTCTCACGGATCAGTTCTGAAGAAGTAAAAGGGACACAAAGTAAAAATGCCGAGAAGACGGTTTTATTTATAATACTTACCCTTGCCATAACAATGACCTAGACTTTAACCCAAACCTTAATTAAAATTATTTACCTAAACATTGTTTTGATGCATCACTGGGTAGAGATGCCTATAATTTCCCTTTTAAAAATTAGACATATTAAAACCTTGTCTACAAAAATTGTTCTTTAGCCTCCAACAAAAAAATTATGCTAATGCTAAATTTTATATGCAGCATAATGCTACTAACTTCAAAAGAATTAGAAAAAAATCCAAATTAAAAAAAGTATTTATTTCCGAAAGTTAATTTATAAACTTTTATAGGTTTCCTAGTATAACTTTGCAGGAAAAAAGGTCTATTATTACCTAAATTGCTCAAAGTTTTTTTTTTACAATATTATTTTTAAATTATTAATTGTTAATAACAGATAAATTGCAAAATTATTTACAGCTAATATTATTTAATAAATATATAAAAAATTTAAACACTAAACGTATCTATAGCAATAAAGTTAAATTAGTATTTTTACTATGTGAGATTAATGTTTTTGTTTCAGGATCAAATTCATTATTCTCAAGATCTAAAAAATTTAATGTAGTATTTTTATTAAGAGCATTTGCTAATGCATTTCCTCCTTCAGAACCGAGTTGATTACTGCCAAGATTTAAAATTTTTAAGGTAGTGTTTTTGCAAAGAGCCTCTGCTATTGCTTTTCCTCCTTCAAGACAAAGTAGATTACCTTGAAGATCTAAAGAAGTTAGAGTAGTATTTTTGCAAAGAGCCTCTGCTAAAATTACTGCTTCATCAGGACGAAGTTCATTATCTCGAAGATTTAAAGAAGTTAAGGCACTATTTTCTCCGAGAGCTTTTGCCAACGCTTTTCCTCCATCTAAACCAAGTTTATTCTGCCTAAGATTTAGTGAAGATAAAGTAGTATTTTTGTGAATAGCTTCTGCTAATGCTTCTCCCCCTTTAGAACAAAGATTATTTTCCCTAAGATTTAAAGAAGTTAGAGTAGAATTTTTACATAGAGTCTCCGCTAATATTTTTCCACCTTCATAACTAAGTACATTATTTTCTAAATTTAAAAAAGTTAACGTTGTGTTTTCACAAAGAGACTCTGCTAACACTTTCCCCCCTTTAGGACCTAGATTATTAAATCCAAGATCTAAATAAGTTAAAGTTTTGTTTTTACGAAGAGCTTTTGCCAAAAATTTTCCACTATCGAAATTTATTCCATTCCATTGAAGACTTAAAGAAGTTAGAGTTATATTTTTACAAAGAGCTTCTGCTAACGCTCTTGTACCTTCAAAATCAAGTTTATTGGATCCAAGATTCAAAGAAGTTAGAACACTGTTTTTGAAAAGAGCATTTGCTAATGATTTTCCTCCTTTAGGACCTAATTTATTTTCATAAAGTTCTAAAGAAGTTAGAACATTGTTTTTGTGAAGAGCTTCTGCTAACATTTTTCCTTCTTTAAATCCAAGGTTATTACCGCAAAGATTTAAAGAAGTTAGTGTAGTGTTTTCGTGAAGAGCCTCCGCCAGTTCCTTGACACCTTCAAAACCAAGTTGATTATGTTCAAGATTCAAATAAGCCAGTTTAGTATTATTACAAAGAACTTTTGCCAATGCCTTTCCTCCTTCAGAACCAAGTTTATTAAAACCAAGATTTAAAGAAGATAGGGTTGTATTGTTGCAAAGAGCATTTGCCAATTCTTTTCCTTCATTAGAATCAAGACCATTTTTTGAAAGTTCTAAAGAATCTAAATAAATATTTTTACAAAGAACATTTGCCAACTCACTTATTTTTTTATTATCAAGATGTATAGAAATTTTCCAAATTGAAGCATTTCGAAGATCTTCATTATTATGTTGGTTATTCTCAAGAATTTCTTTATAAAGTTCCGATGCTCTGACATATTTTCCTTTAGTAAAGCATTCAAATGCTTCTTTTCTCTTATTTACAAGTATACTATTCTCATAGGCTGGATTATTTAAAGTTTCATTATAGATATGTTGATTTGAAGTCTCATTAGGAATATACTGGCTTGAAGTTTCATTAGGAATTTGCTGATGCTGTCTTGAGGTTTCATTAAGAATATGTTGACTTGAAGTTTCATTAGGAATTTGCTGATGCTGCCTTGAGGTTTCATTAAGAATATGTTGACTTGAAGTCTCATTAGAAATATACTGGCTTGAAGTTTCATTAGAAATATGCTGTCTTGAAGTCCCATAAAGAATATGTTGGCTTGAAGTTTCATTAGGAATATGTTTGCTCGAAGTAGAAGCTTCATTATGAATATAGTTATTTGATATTCCATTCTGTTTTGAGGCTTCGTTAGAAGTGGAATTATTTGAAGGTTTATTAAGAACATGATTATTTGAAGCTAAAATTTCATTTTGACTTGAAATTTCATCGGAAACACAATAATTTAAAGTTGAAACTTCATTGGGAATATTATTGTTTGTTGAAATTTCGTTAGTAGCATGGTTTGAAATTTCACTAGGAACCTGTTGACTTGAAGCTTCACTAGGAGTATGGGCTTCATTAGAAATGTTTTGATCTGAAGTTACATCAAGAAGCTGATTTAATGTTGCGAGAATTGTTTTTATTTCTGGACGAACGGTAGGATCAGTATCCCAACATTTTTTATAAAGTTCAACGTATTCGGGTGGTGTATCTTTCATAGGGCTTTCTCTTATTCCTCTGTATATTTGAACAGAAAGTGAATATTCAGGGATTGATTGGAAAGGCGGTTTTCCACTTGAAAGTTCCCATAGAATGACACCGAAACTATATATGTCAGATTGTTTATTACGTTTATATTCATGATTAAGAAAGCATTGAGGCTCTACATAGCCCAGCATTCCATTAAAGACTGAATTTGTAGATATAGACGTAGACGTTTCATTTATTTGTTTTGACAATCCAAAATCTGCAATCTTTGGTTGTCCTTGATGAATTAAGATATTTTTTGAATGCTACGGAACGGATAAAATAATAGTAATTAATAAATTTAGAAAAAAAATAAAAATACGAATGTATGAATTGAGCAGTACACCTACAAGGTCACGGTGAACAATATCATTAGTATGTAAATACATGAGACCACGCAATATTTTCTTGGCCATACGTAGTCTATTCGGCCATTGTAAGTTTATAGAATTCTCTTTCAAGTATTCCCGTAAATTTCCACCATCAGCAAATTGTAAAATCATGTTATAATAGCCATCAGGATCTATATAATGAAAGATTTAGAATTAGCTGTCATTTTATGCCTAAAAAAAACAAAACCATATACCTTTCGTGACTCCATAGAAACCAATAACGTTAGGATGGTTACAAACTCTTTGTAATACCTGAAGCTTTCATCACATATACAGTATCATAGGAATTTAAGATATCAATATATAATTTTCAATAGGCAATGTCAGGGAAAACCAATAAATCCAAATCTCAATTTTCAATACCGGACTTTAATTAATAACTGTCATAGTAATTTGGGGTAAGTACGAACGTACGTTTAAAATATTATCAAAACGATTACAGCATTGATTATTACAATTTTCTGGATCCAAGTACGATACATTGAATATTTAAATTCGTACTTAAAGGTTTTCTCTTAGTAACACTCAATTATTCATAGGATAGACTAAATATACCTCTTGAACAAACTTTTTATCGAAATTCGCATTGACGATCTTAAGACATTTAAGAGCAACTGTTAATTCTAGATCTTTCCATTCACATTTATAGACTGTCGCAAAGCCACCAGCATCAACCAATACACGATTGGTGAATTCATTATATTCATGGTAATTAATAAATTTACTAGAAATAGCTGTTTCGAACCAATCTTCATTGGCCATAATTTTAGTAACTTTTTAACGCCGATATAAGGAATTATGTATCGGTATGAATGAGAATAAGTACGGTAAATTTCTCTCCAATGTAGATTATTCTGTAATTTCGATATATAGTATTTAACTGCCAAAAAAAGAAACGATTAATGACTTGTACATGTATACATATGCGCGTACAGTAATAATGTCAAGTGTACATAAAAGACCATAAGACTGAGTCATTTAAATTTCCCAAATAAATACGGTGCCACCTTTGTACTCACTTAAAACAAACATATGTGCCCATTTTATTTGCCCATTTATTTTGCCCATTCATTTGGAAATGGAATAATTAGCGTTAAGTCCAACACTCAAAACAAAAAATATAAGCATTTACACAATGTATGGGACAAACACAATGCATGTTTTAGGATAAATAGAACTAAAAATTTAGGATAAAGCCTACCATTTATATTACCGGAGATAACATCATTAAGTAGCCGTTAAGTATAGAATACGTCATTAAGTGCTGTTAGATATAGAATATAGAGCAACTGTGCCAGATAATGTCGTGCCCCATTCGGAATTGCAATTCCAAAAAAAACATAGAATAAATTTGTATTTACGGAAAAATACGGATTACTAAATCCCGAGCTTTTTGTAAGAGAGAGATTTGAGCATTTACGATTATCAATTCAATCACACGATTCTCGAAGTACACAGTTGATTGTGTGAAAATCGTGTAACGAATTATTTCGGGAACAGATGATTCTATCATACCAGCCCTAAAATCAGGTTGTAATTGTCAGTAAGTACGTATGTACAACTTCGGCAGGCGGCAAATTTTTAAACGATATACCACACAAAAATTAAGCAATCATAGAGTCGGTAGCAAAGCAAACTTGCCATTAATAAGGAAAGTGGATAAAGTAAGGTGGGTAGAATTTTCGGATGAGAATTGAATTTAAAAAAGTTGAAAATCGTCATTCCTTATAAAAACACATTCGGATAAGCTTTAGAACCGAGAAATGAATCGTAGAATAATGAAATCATCACACGCCTCTCATAGTGATACATATTATCGCATTCGTATTACCGTTGCGTGTGGCTGACTTTCTTTCAGTCGCATGATTTTTTATTGTACGTACCCGTGGGGCAGATCTCCATCGGATATTATTACCGGATGATTTATCGTTATCATAATCATGTAATAGAATTTCATCCGATGCAGTCCATAATTCTTTAAAAAGGCAGAATTTAGATGAAAAGGTGCATTTTGAAAATTGTTGGAAATAATTTCTATTGAAGATCCTTAAAATATTTTTTCTTTACTGTAAGTATCAGAAATTAAGGTTGATTCTCTGACAATAAGTTACGAATAGTGTTACCATTAAACAAGTAATCTAGTGTAATAAATAATACACGGGATTTGGCTTTACTGGAAATCATTATACAATTCGATAAAAATTTTTTGATTCTACCGTAACTGCAAAACAATTGTATCGCATTTAGTAATGATGTCATATTCCGCATTCATTCTTTCATTTGCCTCGCCAAGAAATATTTATTTTTTCGTATGGCAAATTATTTAGATTTAGTTAAATTAATTTTTCATTCTACGAAAATACTATTTGCAAGTGAATAATCGATTAAATTTTGGTTTTGTTTTTTTCGTTTTTATACGTCCAATATTTTCAGCAAAAAAAAAAACCCCCCGTTCATCATGAATCAAGATTCTAAGGACAATCCAAGGTTTTCGTCGTCATTTGATCAAGGAAGAGGAAGACAACGCGAGTTTCATTGGAAAACAGGCGAAACTATAAATCTTATCGTCGGCACAGGTTTGTAAAAAAAAAAAAAAGTTTATAATTTATTGATTTTATAGTTTTATGTTACGAGGTTCATTATTAATTTATATTTTTTTAAGGAATTTTTATAACTCCTGGTAGCATTTGGAGACTTGTTCAATCTCCAGGAGGCGCTTTGATTTTTTGGATTATTGGTGGTTTTATTAAGTTATATAGTTGGTTTGTTTGGTGGGCAACAGAAAAAAAAAAAGATAATTCACAAGCATATGGGTTTGCATTCGGCTCCAAACCATTAAGATTGTTATTCGGTTTCGCTACAGTCAAGTGTGTAGATTTCTTTATCTCACGTGATTTACAATTATTTATATATATATCGATATATGTACTTAATATTATTATACTGTATTTAAATTGCTTAAAGTATAATTATACCCGGAGCAATTATAGCCAATTCGTTCATTTCCGCTAAATATCTACTCTATGCAATTGGAGGTGGTAATGGTGGAGAATTTGAACACTATGGCCATGATTTTGGCGCATATTTTGATAAAGATTTCATGTAAGTACGTAATAACAATCTTATAAATAATTTCATCAAATATTTTAACTCGAGAATTTTATTTATTAAATTCATAGTACATTACGTGTTCTTGCTATTTTTATTTTGGCAATTACTACTGCATATCACATGCTAGCTGCTAGAAAATCAAGTCACGAAAATAAACAAAAATACGAACATTTCGCAGTCTGCGTAGATCAAATATTGGTCTTGTTTAAATATGTTTCTCTAATGGCTTTGGCTATCATTGGTTTATGCAAAGCAAATGACCCTAGCTTTAGTTCTACATTTAGAGATAATTGGCGTAGCGCTTTCAATTATACATCATCTAACGTTTCATATCCAAGAGATGCTTCAGAATATATTGGAGGTTATGGTAGTGCTGTGATACAGGTAAATATTTTATATTATATAAAATTTTTACTTTGCAAACCTAGAACTTACGTAATGTTCAAAATACAGATACTATATTCATATGAAGGTTTGTTGAAATTTATTTGATTCTTTTGCATTTAATATTTTGCTTTTTGATGAAATAATTAATGAATTATAACAAACATTCAGGATGGGATCATATAAAATGTAAGTTGATTCGTATGAAATATTCATGATTTGTCAGTAAGATATTAAAAAATTTCGATTTTTTTTTTAGATACACATGAGGAGTTGAAAGTCGAAACCACATTCCGGAAATATTCAGCACTTGCTAATATTTGTATTACTATGGTACTTTGTAAGTTGTCAATGGTTATATACCATTTAAATTACTTCATGTGTTACGTTTTAATATAACTACTATTATTTTACTATACAGATATTATCGTAAATGCTGCCTTTATATCACTAGTCGATCCAAAACTTGTAGCAGATCCAAAAAATTCTAACGAAAGTATTGCTATTAATTATGGTGTAAGATTATTTGGTGAACCCGGAAGAAAATTTATGTCATCACTTATCGCAATTTCTGCCTTTAGTTCTGTGGATTCAATGGTCACAGTGTTAGTTTATTGAAATTTTATGCATAATGTGATACAATATTTAACCAGAATTCTTATTAACATTCGTATATTATAAAACTTTATAGGAGTTCATCATGTTTTGACGAATTCAAAAATATACCAAAAATACATGAAGCTTTTTTGTTTTGGAAAGATAGTAACAATCGAGAATCACATCACAATTTATTTGCTCAATTTATTTTTTGCTCAATTTTAATGCTTATCTTTCCTGCTGTGAACGTCTATTCATTTTTTTCTGAAATGTCCGAGTATTTGATAATGCTGTTATATGGTGTTAGCGCACTTTATTTAGTTGTAAGTGATTCAGCTTGTTTGATTTTAATGCTCAATGCTTTAATTTTAATCAATTTATTTTTACTTTAAACTAGACTCCCTTGATAAATGAACCTAAAATAATATTTTTACCTATATTCATTCTATGTTCACTTTTTGTGGCTCTTGCTCCATTATTCCCTGTACCGCCAAGTGAAAATGATAAGATTAAATACCCTTACGTCTTACCATATCTTATACCAGTTTTAGTTATTTTCATTATTGAATTACTTAGGAGAATGCAAATTTTCGGTAAGCCGGTTGATAATAGCCCGACTTTAACTGCATATACATTAGATAGTCCTATTGATGACAGGGATAATGATGAAAACGGTGTTGTTTGAACAATCAAATTTGAAAATTTTTAAATTTTCTTGCCTTATATTTATTTTAAATTTTCAAAATTTTAGAAAATTTTAATTTATCAATATTAGTTATAATAATTGTTTTTTTTTCTTCTCCAATTAAAATTGTCTTAGTAAATAATCTTGTACGTAGTGTAGAAATTTTGAATGATCTGAACAATAAATTTTACTATTTATAAAAAAATTTTTTTGAACGCTAAAGTTTATTATTCAAAATTTATACCTTATACAAAATACTTTGTAAAAATTGGTTTGATCGTCACATTACACAAGTTTCACCACGAAAACTAATAATACAGTAATAACGCAGAGGTCATTACTTCAAGATTATGTTTTTATTTATTCTTTAGATCTACCTGAACTTTTATCGGGAGTTTAAATTTTTCGAATAAGACTTATTTTGGCTCAAAGATCTCTCTCTTTCAAATAAATTTTCCTGATTCTTTTAGAGAAT